TAACGAACGCTTTTCCTTATATCGCTTATCAGATCTCTTAATACGATTGATCGATCTGAAATTGAAGCTGATGAATTGACGGTAACTATGGAAGACGAAGGAGGAAGTTATCGCTGGTATGAAACGGAAGATTATACAAGGATGAAGAGGTAATTGGCGAATTGTATATGCATCACACAGTTCGTTTTTTCGTATGTGTAATACATCGTTCGTATTTGAATTTCAGTGTATGTATTTCAGAATTTACATTAAATTTAAGCTGTTATTAAACGCATTAGTAATACAGAGCTTTTCAATGAAAAGTGAACGCATTTGGCTGATTATATCTTTTTAACAGCAATTATGTATTTGTGTTTGAGTTGTTTAACTATTGTTTGTATAGAATTCGAGACTTATGAATGGATAATGTAACCGTGTTAGTTATTGTAACTGCAAATCCCTGAGATTCGATTACTAGATGTGATTGTATTTGTAAGTTTAAGTGATTTCAATGAAAACCTAGTGAAATTTGTTAAAGTGACATTCTGTATTTGTGGTGTTATGTAGCTTGTTTGTGAAAATTTTTAAACTGATTTTAATGAAACCTAGTGATTTCATTGTAAAAGTTAAAGTTCAACAATATCTAACTGTAATTGTGAACATCAATATAATGAATAACTATACAAAATAGGGGTAACTGTAAGTGTGAAAATAAAGATAGTTTTTGTGATTCTGAAACTGTATGGGTGATTGTATTTGTTGAAACAAAGGCGTAACTGTAAGTGATAAAACGATGTTGTAATTTTTAGTGTTGAAAGAAATGTGTAACTGTAAGTGATAAAACGAAGTAGTAATTGTGAGTGTTGAAACAAGGGCGTAACTGTAATTGCGATCAGTAAGTGGTAACTGTCAATATTTAAATAATGGGGTAAATGTCAATGTGAAAATACAAGGCGTAACTGTCAATATTGGAATAAAGTGGTAATTGTCAATGTGAAAATACAAGGCGTAACTGTCAATATTGGAATAAAGTGGTAACTGTCAATGTGAAAATACAAGGCGTAACTGTCAATATTGGAATAAAGTGGTAATTGTCAATGTGAAAATACAAGGCGTAACTGTCAATATTGGAATAAAGTGGTAACTGTCAATGTGAAAATACAAGGCGTAACTGTCAATATTGGAATAAAGTGGTAATTGTCAATGTGAAAATACAAGGCGTAACTGTCAATATTGGAATAAAGTGGTAATTGTCAATGTGAAAATACAAGGCGTAACTGTCAATATTGGAATAAAGTGGTAATTGTCAATGTGAAAATACAAGGCGTAAGTGTCAATATTGAAATAAAGGAGTAACTGTCAGTATGAAAATACAAGACGTAACTGTCAATATTGAAATGTAGAAGTAACTGTCCATACTCCATACAAGTGGTAACTGTCAATATTGAAATAAAGGAGTAACTGTCAGTGTGAAAATGTAGTTAAGTAACTGTAACTACAATGTAACTTTGTGAACTGTAAGATACAAAAAACTTACATTGGGGTCATTTATATTTTCAGGTTGCAACAAGTGATGTTGACATTATTTTTTGATGGAAGATGGAACAAGGACAAAAAATTTGTTTATAGAGCAACATACGGATTATTGATTAATCCAAATGCCTCTTATTGTGACTTGCTTTATGAGATACGAGGTACTGTGGAGCTCCAACAGAATGTCAACATATTGAGTATATCATATCAAATAGATGAAACATTTGAGCCAACAATTATAGATAATGATCAGAGTGTAAGGTTTTATTTACACCTTAAGACGGGTGTCAAATCTGAAGTTGGAAAATACCCATTGTGTATTCAAATTGAAAATGATAAGGTAGTTCCTGATGTGGATATGGACTGCCACAGTGATACCTGGGAGGAAGTAGGTCAGTCAGAGTTCAATTTGAATGATGAATACCCAAGAACTGATGTGGCAATGACCAGAAATTCTGAAGTATGTACTGGACCACCATCCACAGCAGGTCAACTTACAACTTGTTCAACAAGTTCTTTATTGTCATGTATGGATGGTAGTAGAAGTGAAATATTGGATGGAATGGACACAACATTAAGGATCAATGGGCTATATCCGAGTAAAGAGGAATTTAAGGAGACTTTACAGATATATGCCTTGCACAACAAATTTGAATTCGAAACCAAAACTTCGAATCCTTGGGTTCTCCATGTTATTTGTGTTGATCAAAATTGCAAATGGGCTGTCCGTGGAGTTAGAATCAAGGAATCAGATTATTTTCAAATCAAAAGGTAGTTCCAGAGGGTATTATTATGCATTAATTTTATTTGTTACAAAATGAAAGTATTGTTTCACTTAACAATTTTTATGTAATGTGTGCAGGTTTGACAACGTCCATTCTTGCTCAATTGACTATAGACTTGGTGCAAATAGGCAAGCAACCGCTGCAGTTATAGGAAAACTTATTAAACATCAGTACCTTGATGCTTCCAGAAAGCCTTATCAACCAAAAGCAATAATGGCAGACTTAAGCAGGGAGTTAGGGCTGAATGTGAGTTACAAAAAGGCATGGAGGGGAAAGGAGCGTGCCTTGACTTCAATATCTGGAACAAACATAGAATCGTATGGAAAGTTACCAACTTTATGCTACATGTTGAAAAAAACAAATCCAGGTTCACTTGTTTTGCTTGACACTGATAAGAAAGGGAATTTCAAAACTTTGTTTATGTCACTAGGAGCTTGGAGAGAAGGATGGGCCTTTTGTCGTCCAGTTATTAGCGTTGATGGTTCTTTTCTGAAAGCCAAGTTTCGTGGAACAATTCTGAGTGCATGTTCTCTTGATGCGAATAGACAAATTTTTCCAGTAGCTTTTGGAATATGTGAAAGAGAGAACAAGGAGTCGTGGTCATGGTTTTTTAATAAACTCAAGGAAGCCATTGGGGTTAGAGCTGATCTCTGTATTGTGTCTGATAGGAATGAAGGTCTGATTCGGGCTGCACAAGATATTTATCCTGAAGCTGATCATGGGCATTGCGTCCAACACATATTGGGAAACATAACATCCAAGTACAAAGGAAATTCAAAGAGAGTTACTACTTTTTTCAATGCAGCTGCACGGGCAGCAACAGAGCGCAAATGGGAATATTTCATGAAGTTATTAGATGCAGAGGATCCTCAAATAAGGCAATTTCTGGAAAAAATTGGTCATGATAAGTGGGCAAGATGTAAGTTTGCACGAAGGAGATACTCGATGGTAACTTCAAATAATGCTGAGTCATTAAACGCAATGGACGCAACCGCAAGAGAATACCCAATATCAATGTTGATTGAGTTCCTAAGATCAAGAATGCAAACATGGTTCCATGACAGAAGGAAATTAGCAATTGAGAATAATTCAAAACTATCTCTTGCAGCAGAGGAAGTGCTGGTTAACCTTCTCAATGATTCAACAGGGATGATTGTAAGTTATATGTAAATATATTATAATGCAGTTACCAAGTGAAGCATTGAACATATATTCTGTTGAATTGTAGCATACAATCATAATTGAACATATACTGAGTGCAACATATAATCATTAACAAATTAACGATTGTAGGTGAGACCAAGTACGGCTTACTTGTTTGAAGTGATTGACAAAGCTTGCAGAGCATACATTGTTGACCTACTGGAAAGGACATGCACGTGTAAAGAATTTCAATTGGAGGACTTTGTTTGTGTACATGCCGTGGCAGCGATTGCACACCGGAAAGGTCTATCATGCTATGATTTTGTTTCAGAATACTACAAGAACAGTGCATGGTTAAATGCATATAGTGGAGTGGTATATCCTTTAGGAGAGTATTCTGTTGATGATATTCCAATGGAGGACCGCAACAGGGTTGTAAAACCACCAATCTCGGATAAAAAGACAGCTGGGAGACCGAAAAACAAAAGAATCCCTTCAAAGGGTGAGTTTGTGTCAAGACAAACTTGTGGGAGATGCAAGCAACATGGTCACAATCAAAAAACATGCCACAACCCAATACCACGAGTTCCTAGATAGATTTTACTATAAAATGTGTTTGGTCTTTGTAAACAATCGTATTGAATTACTTTACTTCATAATAATAGTGCTGTAATAAGGATATTATGTCAGGATTATAACCTGCAGTTTTCTGGGCAGTGACTAAAGTGTATTATGTCAGGGTATTAGGTGACATATGATTGCTATTACTGGTTTTGGTTGTTGTTTCAGTATGATAGTGCTTTTATAATGCTTGATTCTGTTCTGTGAAGTTTCATAATCATTTTCATTCATGATGTCCATACTCCCTACTAGTTGTGATGAATGACATGAATTTATGGTGCTTAAGCAAAGTCTGGGTAAGAAGTTTGAGATAAGCCAAATTTTATGGTGTTTAGGAACCCAATCTATCTAAGGTAGGTGTACCTATAGTTACAGTAGCAGTAATGGATAGTAGTTGACCAATTTGTGCTTTCATCAGAGCAACAAAATGCTGAAATTGATCATTGATGATTTACAATGTTGGAGATATCTGATTCTACATAATTAATTGTTCTTGAACTTTCAATTGATTCTCCTAGATATTGTTTAGCCTTTGATTTATATTTTGGTATCCAACCAGGTGGTAGCTGAGTAAGTGCTTGCTTCCATAACACCCTATTTAGAGTGAATGTGTATAGACTAATATTTCTCTTTTACTAGTATCAATAATTTTATTTCTTAGTGAAAATGCTGAAAAGATTAGTGTCAGACGTTGGGAACACAGGAACACTGGAAAAGATGATCAATGGCTATAATTCAGAAGATTCAAATGACAAGTGATGAGTCATCTATGTTTCTTGACCTGGCCTTATTGGGAAGAGTTTAGTGATAGTGACCAGTACATAGTTTATATACTAAACAACTATAATAGGATATGCCCCAGAAATAAAACAAAAGGATAAGAAACCAATATTCCATACTTAGTATCAGTATTACACAATGTTTTCATGTAAAAGTCGTGAAAAAAGAAACATCAAAATAGTAGTCAAAGATGATACATTTCAGTAGGAACCTGGGCACATATCAAAAGACCTCAACAATACGCAGAAAGTTGAGTGTCAAAGTGATTGTTTACAGTGAAAGTTGATCTAAAATTTACAAAATAATCACTTCTTAATTGCATCAGAGTGAATTGCCAGTGACTTTCCCTTTGCTGAGCCATATACGTAGAGATCATGAGCCCACTTCGCGCGATAATCAGCTATTCTGTCTGGGTATACAGTACGAACGTCCAAGGTCATTTGAAGCACTTCAGCAAATTTGAGAACCATAAATCCACAATCTCCACTACAAAAAAAATAAAAGAATTAAAAACAAATACAATCTGTACACACGTATTAATCAATAATAATAGAAGGGAGAACAGTTACCCGTTCACTTGTTGCGGAACACCAGTGACTACTTCCACCTCATATGGAACAACTTCTTCAGGAGCAGTGTTGCTTGAAACAGCTTTAACATCAGCTAGAACTAGAGGAAGAAAGTGAATCAACCCTTGCATCTTTTTAAGAATATTTGGCTTCATAGTACCCAACCTATTGTTGCTATCGTAGAGCCGCAAAGTATGCGCCTGAACATCCAAAACCACAAGAACCCAATGATTGGATTCTATAGATGTGTAGAAATACACATAATCAGATTTTATCCATGGCCGGAGATACAGCGTAGGATCGCCAGATAAAGCGTCATTCAAGCAACCATCCAGAGATGCATCATGTGGATCACATTTTCCAGATTTATATCGAATAAATAGTTCATTTATTCGATCAACAACGTAGCAGCTCGCTGTAGAGAACTTCTGAACAAGCTTGAATGTTGCGGCTTTCAAACGGAGATAAAAATCAACAGTCTCTATATGCTAGAAAATCATAAATATATTAACAAATGATAATCAGTAAACATGACAAAAATATTAATTAATTTAAAACATTATTAACACATAACACTTAAAAACCATACCGTAGAATCAATCCATTGACCAGATTGATGAAGCTTGTACAACCATGATTTCTTCTCAATTTCAAGCCCAGGATCTAGAAGAAGAAGAAAATTAATCTCGTGTTCAGGCTTATACTTCACTTTGGTTGCCACATTTTTGTGTCCACGCGCAACACCTTCCATAACATACTTAGAAAACTTAAGCTGCTCAGATTTAGATTTGAAAACAGAAAATGGATCAAAGCTGAATGGGCAAACAACTTGCAGATGACATGCTTTTTTGTTCTTTTTCAAAGCTTCAGAACCCGGAGTGTAGCGAGAAGGTGATTTGGCCTTTCTTTTGGGTCTACCTTTAGTCAAGGTTAGATCATCAATCTCAACAACATCAATAGCAGTAACCGGGTCAGTCTGCAAAATATGAAAAGTAAATATGAAATTAAAGTGGAGAATAAAAAATATAGTGACCAAGAGAAGAAAATTTGTAGTTATAAATTTCAAAGTCACCTCATGTGTGGTTTGAGCAGATGGAAGAATAGTACAAGGTTGCTCCTGAAATGTGACTGCCTAGAAAAACGAAAAATTGAAAAATATATTATGTAAGTGGTATATTTAGAAAATAAGCGAGATAAAGTTCAATTAAAATAACTAAAAACCTGGAGTTTCTCATGATTGATGTTTTCATTTATATGAGAGGAAGAGGCTGGTTCACAACCATTAGGGATTACAAGCTATTGAAAAGGATAAACAGTTAGACAGATTTAATAAATAACAAAAAAAAAAGAATAAAATGTGAGAAATATGTACACATACCATCGACTCGTACATATCTAAAGCAATGTTGAGAGCTTGAGTCATTCCCTTCTCAAACATATCATCAGAATCTGTGACTACAGGAGGTACTTCTAGCAATGAACAATCTGAATTAAAATTGACATCTTCATTTGCTACAGTATCTGCATCAACATTCACACCGGCATTGGCATTGGGCTGGTCTGAACAACGGGTTGGAGAATGACTGACACCTTCAGAAATTATTTTATTTGTTAAGCTTTCAACATATTCCTTGAACTTCATAGCCATGATTTCTTGGTCTTTGATCAACTGTGCAATTGTTCCATCCTGCAGCTTGATTTTTTCATCAAGTTTTTTTATCTCTAAACTCTGTAGATTCAACTGATCTTCTAGAGATGATATCTTCAACATAAGAGAAGCTTTTTGATGTTGTCCATGTTGTCGATCTTGAACAGAAAATGAAGTTGTATCATTCACTGGTTGTTCCACACTGACACCTGCATCAGTCCTAACTACTCTATCCACATCATCCCTCACTAATCTAGGAGATTTCCTTTGATTACTTATCTTAGAAACGTGGATATCAACTTGTCTTTCTTCACAAGATATAGAAGTACTATTATACACGGGTTCCTGCGCAGTGACTTCCTTGTCAGTATTTCCAAGTCTCAGCAGCTTCCTTGCCTTAGTTTTCTTAGGAACAACAACATCAATTGGTATGACTTTGCGTTTCTTTATGGGCACTTTTTTCTTGGTCATGCTAATAGGTGTAGCAGCAGTGGACTGAGGGATGACAACATTGCGTGGTGTAATTGGACAAAAGACAAACTGTAAATGCATAGAAATTAGTAGATATTTAACATGAATCATACAAATGAACAAGAAATTGAAAAATAAAAACATGACATAATGGAATAGATCATTGCGTTAAGTGTAACATAAATATGAACTCACATGCGGGTTAGAGAAAATAATACGCTTCAGGCATGCACTACTGGGCCTAGAAGTAGAAGACCATCGTAGAATCAATGGGTATGCATTTGTGTCCACCAGTTCAGTAATATGTGTCTCTTTAAGTGCAGGGAAGACTTCATAAGCCCAAACTTGTAACGCCATAACACAACTATACACATTGTAATGTTTGTTGGATATCATGCTATCTACCCCAGCCTTAAAGTAATTAATCATATCTGCCCATATGACACTCCCCCATGGGTAAGAATTAAAGTTCTCCAGATTATCTACTAGGTTAATGTAATGCTTATTTAGAGACACTTGACCATCTGCGGCTAAAAAGGCATGTGACAAAACAAAGAGCAAAGACAACTTAACTATGTCATCATTTGGCAATTGACCCTTTTCAAGGGTCTTAAACAAATTCTTAATATCTGACCGAAAAACCCTTGTCTTGCGAGTAGGAAAGTAGTTTGTCCAGATCACTCCCCTCTCAGTTATAGCAGGTGGATTAGATTCAAAATGGTCATCGAAACGGAGGCCTAAAATTTCAGTGAATTCTGAAACTGAAAATGATATAAGCCTATTCTCTATTTCGAAATGAAAACCGGAAGAACCATCTTTCTCACAATCATCTAATTCAACCAAGTTACCCAGCAACAAATGTAATAATTGCCCACAACAAGTGATCTCCTTAGCATGTAAGAATTTCCCAAAGACTGTCTCACTAAACAATTGAAGTTGAGCAGGAAGAAGTTTGGACTTAATAAGCTGTATTGAGTCATAAAGCCTTGAGAAAGTATTGACTTTCCTGTTTGAAATTTCCTTATAAACCAATGACTTCTCTGCCAAGCGCTTATATTTCTGGTAAAACAAAATGAAATTTATAATGTGTAAGTGCATGATAAAACTAAAGTATTGGACATTATACTTCACTAAAAAATAAACTTACAGGATTAGCATTATGCATCAACGCTAAGCGATTTGAAACACGGCGTGATGGTGTAGTCACTGGAGGAGATGTGAACTCACTGTCCGACATTTCTAAATCAAAAAAATATATAAATTTCAGTTAAATGACAAAAATGACCTAACACAAATGAAAAACACATAAAGTTAAATGAAATAAACAACTACATGGAGATGAACATTATAGAGTAGTAGTTATAAAGTGACAATAGATTGAGAATCCTCATTAATGTAGCAGGTCATTACAAAGGAAAAGTATTATACATTAGCAAACATAAGCCTACTTTAAATATCACTGAATAGTGACCAATTCGTATACAGACCTAAGTGAAGGATATTAACAAGTAACAACATCTTCTACATAAGGAAAATGCAAATTGGTAACAAATAAAGCTGAATGAGAAGCACAAAAAACACAGTAGAGTTGGTATACAAAAGATAATACGAAGGAAACAATGACAATGAAAGGAAGTCTGAAAAATCAAAATAGGACAATTATAGTAACATATTCAAATATATACACCACTTAAACTTAGTAGAATCAAATTCATCAATTGAAATCATAGAATAACGATAATTTCATCGGAAAGCAAACTCAAAAATGAAATTCATAATTAAAAGTATTTTACCGTGCTTTATGAATCGAGAAAGTGTACTGACCGCAAGAACTGATGATTACAAACTTGATGCAATCGGAATCAAATGGACGGAGTATTGAGGAGAAACTGATGAAAAATCATCTCGAGAGTCGAGAGAGAAGATGAGCGTGTTCAGAGATGAGCGTGTTCAGAGTGAGAAAGCATGCATAAACGATGGAGTTCAGAAGAGTGGAAACGGCTAGAAGGGGTATATTGGTAAGTTCACGGTGTGGGTAAAAGGGCCGGGCTACATTTAGTGAGTTTTACGGGAAAATAAAAAAAGGCCCTATTTCTGTCAAAGCAAAAGTCTGTAGTATTATTCATGTCATTATTTCAAAGAAATCTCGGAAAGTGTGAGTTGATTTAAAAAATGTGCACACATAGATCTATTTTACAAGGTGTGTGGTAAAATAAATATTTGAAATATCAAAATAGAATGTCATGTTTTTATATTCTAAATATAAATAAGTTTTGCCAGGTTTGGAATATTAAAGTCTAGTAATATCACATGATGGGGCTGACTTGAGGAATTGCGGACAGACCAGGAGAACCAAGGAGCGTCGAACCGGTGAATACACTTGCGGGAGCATCCGATCGAGAGTACCGCGGCAATAGAGGAAATCGCCGAGCTCTGTCCAGCAGTATGATGCTGCGATGAGACCGGTGGCGGAGATGGGATAAACAGAGTCGTCGGAGACCACGTAAATATTGGGGGAACCCAACTGCCAAAAGTCAAGGGCGGAAGAGACGTATCAGCCGGCGAACTGAAGATGGACTGAACAGAGGATAGGGCGGTGTCCATCTCGTTCTGTGTCTGGCTTGCTGCGACTGAAAGTGGAATCGCAACAGTAAGCGCGGCCGTGGTAGCCTGGTAGGCGCTGCCATGGTGGTCGAAGAAGCGGTATCGGTAGACATGATGACCGAAAAAAATTCTATAACTCTAGGGCTCTTGATACCATGTGAGAATAATGAGGAAGCGTACTCTAATGGTAGCCCCAGAAGTATTATTTATAATAAAAGACTCAAAGATACATTAAGATTCCTACTATAATTAAACAACCTAATTAATATTAATAAATACATTATTAACAACAACATGGTGGTATAAAAATAGGAGAGTCCTACTTCAGAATTTATAAACGTTTTCACTCTTGTTTAGAATAACTTTTTTAAAATAAAAATGTCCAAGTTTATGTTAGGGCTGGTTTTGAAAATTTATGAACCAGGGGCCATTAAAAATAACGGGCATTAACATTACTAAAATGAATTACAAAGTTTAATCATAAAATGAACCTTGTAAGTTCAATACACATAATTATGCAAATTTGTCAATAAATATACTACTCCAGTACTCCGTATAATACATTGAATGTAATTTAGAAATTTCAAAACTAAATTACACAGTTAACTACTCCGCATATAAAATTTACACATCACCGAGTAACAAAAAATCTAAAAAAATACTCGTACATTATAGATAAATACAAAATTGTCCATTACGGAGTACTCCGTATATTATATTACTACGTATAAGACAAAACGCAGGAATTCTTTGATTTTTTTTCACTTCATCAAGAGTAAAGATTTATTCCAGACGAAATAATTTGCAATGACTATTAACAACCAGCCTAATTAATAACAACCCAATATAGAGTAGGTATTTATCACCACAAAACAAAAATCATCTTTTGTTCGTTTTGTCAACTACTCAAATACGATCCTTAATTTACTCCTACGTACACGAAGCACCACTAGCTTATTCCCAATTTTCGCATTTTAATTCAACCATTTGAGAGTGCTATAAATTGAGACAATTAATTTATTTCTTCTCATCATATCATCAGAAACGTATCTGAAACACGCAATTAGCCAATTAGCATTTAGCAAAGATAAACTATCATTTCAAATTTGCTAATTATGGATAACTCTCAGAGCATTAGCTACCAAGCCGGCCAGACCAAAGGCCAAGCTCAGGTTACATTTTTGCTTGTTTTTTATAGAAGTATATTTATCCATTTATATTTTAATGCTGTCCCTAATTAAGATTAAAGGTTTTACTTAAAGTATTACTGAATTAAAACTTATGGATTATAGTTAATTGAGAAAGTGAAATGAAAAGGTCTAATTCAAAATCATAAATAAGGTTTCCACTTTTTACATGTGTAGTTTCTCAGGGAAATTGTGAAGAAACTAAAATGAGACTTTCTTTAAAATTCAAACACATAGAAGTTTTGTATTCTTTCATATGCCGATACCTTTTTTAGATCCTAATCAAACTTTCAATTCTTTCCAGAACAAGGTTTCTGGTTCTCTAATAAGATTCATGTTCTTGAAATAAATTTCAAATACCCAATTTTATTTTGACAAGTCAAATTATGTACAATACTTTTTCCCACAAAAGAGTACTCTGTATGAACTCCAATAATAATTACACTAAAGATGTGTCATTAATACCAGGAAAAGGGCAACCAGATGATGGACAAGGCAAGCAATGCTGCCCAATCTGCAAAGGAAACCCTTCAAGATGTTAGTATCTGTATCTATCTATAAATTTGTTTATGTGTATACATACTGATGACACACTCATTCCCAAATCTATTTAATGGCTAAGATCTGACATTCAAGTAACACACACACTCATATTAGGGAAAATAGTATGTGTACTTAACGCAAATCGGGGCATTTTTGTTCATAGCGGTGCACATAATCTATCAAAAGATGCATTCTTTGCAGTGAAGGAAAATTTTAGTTATGAACACAAAAATCACCTCATTTCTTTGCATATTTGGCATTTTTGAATCTTTAGATCCTAAACATCTATGGGCCTATGGCAGTAGGTTATATATACATAGATCAGACACACATATGCCCGGGCATTCCAAATTTAATATAAAGAATTATATTTTATGTATACAATCTTTCTGTAAAAGATTACATGAAGTTGATTATTTATGTCAATCTACCTCAATATATTCAGAGTCTACATATGGAACTAACTGCACACATATATATCAGAATATAACTTACTCAGTTTCTTTTCTTTTTATTTAATAGGCTGGACAGCAAATGCAGGCAAAGGCACAAGGAGCAGCTGATGCTGTTAAGAATGCAGTGAGCAAGTAATTTTAGGATGCTGCACAATCTTCGCCTAAGATTGATTGGCCTTTTGGCTAATTATATTGTTTTTCTTAGTTTTTTCTCCAACATTTTATTTTGTTGCTTGTTTTTTGAGTGAAATTGACAAAGAAGAGAATGTATGTGTTCCCAATATTGGGCACTGCCTTTGTCAAATATAAAGTTTGATTAAATAAAAACCATTATATTGTTGCATTTCCACTTCAAAGTTTCTGCTAATTAAGAATAAGACTTTATTGTTTCTTAGTCCTTAAAAGTGACTTGTAAATTACTCATAAAATAGTATGTTTGGCCAAGGGGCTTAAGCAGGGCCAAGGCCCGCCAACCAAATTTGGTAAAAGAGAGATATAACAATCATAAGAACAGAACAAGAACACAGACTCAAGCTAAAAGTATCTATAAAAGTGAAAATTTGTCCAACAGCCTCATCCTTAATTACATTAAATGATTGTGTGCTTCATGCCTTAATCGCGAACCCGGCATCCGATCTCCCTCTCCCTTGCTCACTAAACCGAGCCATTGAGCCTCCCCGAACTCTGACGGACAAGATAATTTTATATTTGTATGCGTACATGTATGTATACAGGAGACACCAAACGAAAATGAGAGTATCAAGTTTTAGCAACTTGATCACCATTTAGGCCAATTTCATTTTTAGCCAGAAATTGATTGGATAATCCAAATTTTATGAATAATTATTAATTTTAACTGTTAGCTCATGTAGATCAATACTTTCAACCATGTGTTGATCACCCATTCATTGTATGTGTAATCCCAATTCAAATTAATCGAGAGAATTAGTTAATTTACAAAAAATCTATCTCATTATATGATTCATGACATTTTTTATTTCTATTTTACCTAAAGCACACTTCTCAAATCTAATGCATCATAATCATCCTCATCTCTTTTCTTAGACGTTCTCATGAAAATACACATGGATGCACATTTACTCTGTTTGAAATGCACCTTGATGTTCAAATAATGCATACTACGGAGTATTAGATTGGTGGTTAAAATGCACGGGTGCATTTACTCTGTTAAAAGTGATGCATATTATCCCTTAATATAATGTCAAATTTTGTATTATTTACCAAAAGTTAGACAAAAAATAAGGATAGTTCGGTAAAATAAGGAATTTGAGAATGTGTATGCAACTTTAAATAGGTATAGTGAAATTTAAGTCATATAATTATGTATATAAAATATACTCGTACAACATACTTGGTTAACATGAGTTTAAAGCAAAATACTAGCCTAAAATTATCTCATGCAATTAATATCTTTAATTTGAAGAATGCTCTCATGTACATTTGTTCCCAACATGTGCATAGTGAATGTATTGAACTAAAAAATTCATATAGTTTGATGTATTTATTTAACGTAAATTTTGTGACACTGTTTTCTAAGATTTTACATTGTACTCTAATATGTAAAACATTTTACTTGAAAGTGATAAATAAATATTATACATCATTATGTACTTCATATAACACTACACTTATTTTTTTTTTAAATTAAATTATATTACACACTTAATCAAACGCATTTGTATTTTGTATGTCAAATGATTGATTTGTTAGACTTTGGCTTGTATCATTTCAAATACAGACTATGTTAGGTAACATTGAAATTGGTTGAATCTGTTAAAATTGATAATATTTTGGAGTTGACAGCATCTAGGGTTCAACCCTAGCGGTATTGACCCAGATTTAGATGTGCAAGTAGAGTTAGGAGTCGACAACATCTAGGGTTCCTCGAACAATGTGATATCTCACACCGGGTAAATCCTTAACCCTTCCCCCTCTTACTAACAACCCTCACGTGGTGAAAGAATCGTCGTATGCACCGGAAGATTTTGTTGAATTGTAAAAAAATGTTAAAAGTATATTTTATTAGAAAATCAAGAAAAAATTATATGAAGAATAGCTGTTAAAATGATGATCTACAACAACTTTACTCAATTTAACCAGAAAGTAACTTCAACCTTATTTATTTTGATTAATTTCTAATTCAATACGCAAAATTAAAAGTTACGTGTTTGATAAAAGAAATATGGCTGGTAGGATACTGGGAAACCGATAAGCTGAAAATAGGATTATCAATTATGACAAACTACCAAACACACTTTTATATACTTTTGAAGTATAATACTAACCCCGTTCTATTCGACATTGACAAGAAGGGCTTTTGAAAACAGAAATGAAATGGAAGAGGACATTCGATCAATGGGGGTAATGCCATCCTGACATCATCCCAAATTAAAAAACTATATATAAAAAATTATAATTATTCATATGACACTAATATATTTTTTCAGATGACACTAATATTGCATAAATAAATTTTTTTAGGAAAAAAAATGAAGTTTCAAGTCTCGGGAATTTTAAGGAAAAAATGAAATACAAATTTTTAATCCATGGTGCCTCCACAAAAAATAGAACTTTACATGAACTTTTTTTATTTTTTATTAAATGAAAAAAGTAAAACAAAAATGTAATGATTTTGTTATTTTTTAACATTAAAATGTGTATTTTTTTAATTTCATAATTATTCAGGAAAAAAATTACGAAAATATTACTTATAATAAGATATTAATATTTTACTAAAGTGATATGAAAAAATATGATGAGTGTATTATTGACGGTGCTGAAATGTGGTCATATTGTTATATTTTTATTATGTATAGTTGCATTTTTTATTTAGTTTCATTGTTTGTTGTTGTGAAAATTACACACTTTTGGTGTAATTACTTTATTTTTCTAGATAGTTGTAATTTGTCTAGATTATGATTATTTTCAGCTTAAAAGAGGTCAAGATCATTCAAAGGATCAAGATTGAGCCCCAAAGGATCAAAGAAAATGCAAGAGGACAGGACAAAAGGAAGATTGAAAAAATATTTCATATACCCGTTGAGGTTAGGCGATTCCTGATCGGGTATTGAGTTGATTTGGGTGTCAAAATCAAATGTGCGACTCCCCATCTGTTTTTTTTATTAAATGTCCTTTCTATTTTAGGAAGTTTTTGATAAAATACCCCCACTTTATTACTTTTACTGCACTTACTTATTAAAAGCTACTTTCTCTTTTCTACTTTATCATCACTTTACTCTTTTTAATACACTCATACACTCTTTTTCCTACTTTATCATTTACCCTAGACACTCTATAGTTGTCTTGCTAAAACATGCCAAAAGGATACATAATAAAAAACGGAGGGATAATATTTAACTTTTGTAAAATGGAAACTAATAATCCAACCTTTTAGCGGTCTTCTTTCAATAATCCAATTTTTTGATTATTCATGAATAATCCAACCTTTGCACCTCATCTTCATTCACTGGTCCCTGACCGGTTGATGACCTGCGATTCCAAGTTATTTTCTTATCTTTGCAAATCATTATACCATAAATCTCATCTTTCACAAAGATAATATTTTGTAAAGATAAGAAAATAACTTGGAATAGCAGGTCATTAACCGATCAGGAACCAACGAATGAAGATGGGGTGCAAAGGTTGGATTATTCATGAATAATCAAAAGGTGGGATTATTGAAAGAAGACAGCTAAAATGTTGGATTATTAGTTTCCATTTTCCCTTTAACTTTTTAAAATAAAGATATTAAAATTGATGACATTTTATTTCAGATGGATGGTTTCGGATGACTAGAGCTTCTCCTTTTCATGAAATTATTATAAGTAATTATTCTAAATGGGACTAAAACATAGTCAAAACTCCAAAACAGGACCTTAACTTTATTATTTTTTAAATGGGATTCCAGATTACTTACTTACCCCTGCATCATTAAATCTACCCTGCTCCTTCCTCCACCTGCGATTAAAATCTTCTTCTCCTCTGCTGCAGCTCCTCCGCCGACAATTGCAGCCGCAATCCTGCCGACGCCAGCAAAGACAAGTAATCTTCTCAAGCTTCTTCTTTCTTCTTCCTCCTCCTCTCTTCTTCTTCTTCCTCCCCCCCCCCCCCTCCCCCCCTCCTTCAATTCTTCTTCGTTCTTCTTCTCATCCTCTTCCTAAGTTCCCAGTGCTCTGTTTTTTTCTTTAGTTATCTTGATTTATGTTAATTTTTTGTTTACTTGTTTGGTTAAATAGAAAACCGATTTCTGATTTGTGAACATGTAGATGAAAAATTAGGTTGCAATGCTCCATCCATTGTGGATTTCAGTTTTATTTATTTATTTACCAATTTTGATTCATTATGAATCTGACAAAATTAATAGTACTTAATAAGGAAAATGTCACTTTTATGGTATTACATTTGTAAAGATGACAATGTTGCTTTGAAATTACAAAAATGTCATGTTTTTGCCAGTTTCACATAAATGTCACATTTTGAATCACAAAATGTCATATGACATTTCCAAATACTGTAATGTCATAAAAGTGACATTTTTAAAAAAATAACCAATAATGACACAATAATGTCAATTTCGTATAGAAACATGACACTCAATATGACATTTCCAAATATTGTAATGGCACAAAAGTGACAATTTTTAAAAAATACCCAATAATTATGACATTCTGTTATTAAAAAAGTGACATTTTGGAATCATTAGTCAGGGCATTTTGAGATTCAAATTAATCAAAATTGATAACAAGAATTTCAAGTTTTATATATCCTTCATATGAAACTTTTAAAATTCAAATTTTTTATTGATAAAAATTAAAAAAAAAAAACAGAGAACTAGGAAGAAGAAGATGAAGAAGAAAAAACAGAGAACTAGGAAGAAGAAGAAGATGAAGAAGATGAAGAAGAAAAAGCAGAAGAAGAGCAGAAGAAAAAGATGAAGAAACTTACCCGGGCAAAGAAGAATCGATGCAGCAGAAGTCCATCTCTAGCGAAGCAGCTAGCGAATAGATGCAGCACGAACTAAGAGGACTGTTTAGTCCAAATACAAATAATTAGTCCTATTAAGGGGAATTTAAAACATTATGTCCTATTTTTACAATTCAACCTTCTTTTAGTCCTATATTTAGGTAAATCTCTCAATTATTATCTACTCCATATGTTCTTCCCGAACAAGAACTTTGCTGCTGCACCCTATCCAAGTTTCAGGGTTGTGCTTTTCTGGTTCCTGCTCAATCTTTCTTGCCCCAAGATCAAGCTGAATCAAGATAAGGTATTATCATACGGATCATCTAATACGTAGTAGTGTAGTACTATGAGTAAGTTTCTCGGACTTTCTACACCTTCCAGTACTGCTCCTTGATATAAACCGTAGTCTGGTGTTCATGTGTTTTCTAGAATTTATGGAAAAGCACTTCTGTATCGTATAGAAAAAACATGGCAACTATTCCGATTATCTTGAGTGATTGGCCTTCGCATTTCCAAGAAAAATGGAACCTTCATATTGGGAAGTCAAAATGTTTGACGAGACATAGCATTTTATCTTACTCGGGACCAAATTTTAGTACTTCAGATTCTGCCCCTTTGATATGGTTGAGTAACAGATCATGTAAATCTAGGCAAAGATTATTACTTCCTAGCACAGAGGTTAGGTCAATGATAAATGGGAAGAGAAATTTAGGGACGCACTTTAGGGAAAGGGATAGTAATGGAATGAGGAAAAGACATTCATTGAGGCTACGCCCACGATTACGATTATTAGCCTGGAGATTGAAAAGGTTCTCAGTCAGATTAGCCCTAAACAATGGCGGGACATTCCTGCGCAAAAATATGAGAATGGTGCTATCTATATCTGTCTCCTTCATCCTTGGCTTGTGTTATTTCTTTCTGAAGTTGACTGCTATGCCTTCTCCAAAAGTCGTTCCGTATTCAGACTTGGTAATGAGCCTTCAGAGAGGTTCTGTGACTAAAGTTCAATTTGAGGAAGGCTCTCGTCGTATTTTCTACAATATCAAAACAACTGAAGATAATATACCTCATGAGGAAGCAAGCAGTGGAATAATGAGCAGTGATCAAGTTGGGAAGAATATGTTTTATGAAATGTCAAGAGCCAGTAGGTCTGCACCTGTTTGGCAGTTTTCTACTAGAAAAGTTGATCGCGATGAAGGTTACCTTCTCAGTTTAATGAGAGAACAGGGAACAGCATCATATGGTTCTGCCCCTCAATCAGCACTTACATCAATGAGGAGTTTGTTGCTTACTGTTTTGACTTTATGGATTCCTTTGACCCCTCTAATGTGGCTTCTTTACCGTCAAGTATCTGCTGCTAGTACTACAACAGCTAGAAAAAGGAGGTCAGCTAACCTTTTAGTGGATTTCAGTGATGTTGAGGGCGTGGATACCGCAAAGATGGAACTTATGGAAGTAAGTCTCCCGAGTTTTTTTCCACTTTTTAGTCTGATTGTTGTAGTAATGAGTCTAATGACACTTTTGGCGCGTCTTTCAATTTTTACGTTTATTTCTCTAATTATGGTGATATAGGCCCTTTTGGTACACGTCTTTCATGTTTTCTACTTTTAAAGTATGGCTATTTTGATTCTGAGGACCATAAAATAGTTGAAGGATAAAAAATGTCACACACAATAAAACTAGAAAAACGCAAATATGAATGCCAATAGTATCTAGTGTTTATGAGGGATTACATGCAACAGTGTCGGGTTTTCTGGAGCATCAACCTCCGTCATCGAGTAGACCCTTTCTTGGATCCTCCCTTGATTCATGGATTGTGCCCTCATCCATGTTTTCTCATATTGGTTTGGTGCTCACTTAGTATGTTCTCGTTCGGTTCTTATTCACCGTGGCTCCTCCCATGACTCCCAAGGCCTCACCTCGCCTAATTTGTGGACATTCAAACTTCAAATGCTCTAAATTCCCACATTGATATAGCATCTAGGTTACCCACATTGAAACTTCCTTATGCCGCTGTTGCATTTAGTTACCCCTGAGCCTTTTGACCTCGAGTCTTGTTCGGTTGAACCTTAATTCCACCTAGGTGGTGGTACGAGTGTCTTTTAGGATCCTCCTCCTTTGTTGGTCCCACTCTTGTATGGACCATGGAACCATTGTTTCCCATTTCCTCTTCTTTGCCTCCTTGGCATCCTTCGCGTTGCTTTCCTCCCATTCTTTCTCTACTTGTAGACTTTGCTTGACCACCTGATTGAACGTCATATTTGATAGGTAGATTACTCTGTCGCACACCTCCAAGTCCAATAGATACAAAAAATGCCTCACCATTCAATTCTTATTGGCTGCATATATTGGTAAGAATTCAACCAACGTTCTAAACTTCTATTCCAATTGTTTCATGATGGATTCGCCCCCTCACTTCAAATTTGTAACCTCCTCTTCTAGTTCATCATGAAGGAGCAGGAGTATTGCTCTAAGAACTCTTGTTCAAAGTTGTCCCATGCCCCGATGAACTTCCTTTAACACCATCACATCCATAGGCTACCTCATGAACCTCTTAACCCACCCGGCCACATTAGAGATGTCCTCTGTCTTATCAAACGATTCGCATCCAAGGGTTCCAACATTCAAGTTCCGTATGAATGGAAACTTGATACCCCGATCGATACTCGGTACAACGGAGTTTTCACGTGGGACAACTTTGAGCAGGAATTCTTTGACCAATACTGCTCCTCCTTCGAGGTGAACTAGAAGAGGAGGGAGCTATGTAGCATGGATACTTTACTAGAGTACCATATCGACGTATCAGAAACGTTTCCGTATCAGATACTTTATTAAAAGTTTTCAACTTTTTAGGTAATTATATTAAAATTTCGGATACCCTTATTCTGATGAATACACAAATCAACTTTTTTATAAAAAACACCAAGTTCTTCAGAAATGTAAAACTGAAAATGTATTTTGACCTTCTTTTAATCTAGCAGCACACAGATAAGCATATGAACGACAAGTTAAATGTGGGATGTTGGTAGAGATGACTTTTGGAGCATGGCAGATATAGGAGTAGAACTTTTATGATGTTCAATCTGGTGGTCACACGAGGCCTTCAAGGGGAGAAAGAATGCAAGGGAAGGAAAACGAAGGTTGTTGATGATGCAAAGAAGGGGAAATGGAGAAACAATGACCCCCATAATCCAAACAAGTGGGGGGAAACAAAGCAGAATATGATGAGCAGATTGCTCTGTTTTTTTTTTGCAGATTGCTGTGTTTGTTTTTACTTATTCTTTGAAGTTGCTAATCATGCATTTTATTGTTTGTAGATAGTTATGTGTTTGCAAGGATCTATAAACTACGGTAAACTGGGGGCAAAGTTGCCTAAGGGTGTGCTACTTGTTGGTCCACCGGGTACAGGAAAAACACTACTAGCACGGGCAGTGGCTGGAGAAGCAGGAGTACCCTTTTTTTCTGTTTCTGCAAGTGAATTTGTAGAACTATATGTAGGAAAGGGAGCATCTCGCGTCAGGGAGCTCTTTAAAGTTGCAAGAAAGAACTCACCTTCTATCATATTCATTGATGAACTTGATGCTGTTGGAGGAAAGCGTGGACGGAGTTTTAATGATGAACGAGACCAAACTCTCAACCAGGTACTCAAATACTTACTTTTATAATCTAAACCGGTTAGTTTCCGATGCCTTTAACCAATTGACTCTATCTATAACAAGATATAACATTTACTCCCCTATCATATAAGAACTTATTATTTTACATTTAACTTATGTGATACAAATTCTTTAACCGTTTACAATGTTTCACCAAGTGCAATTTAAGGAGGGGAACCATGATGCCTTTTTTTATTATGTCACTTATTGGGCGGTAACTAACAAAAATCATTCAACTGCTCTAGCTACTGACAGAGATGGATGGATTCGAATCTGATACGAATGTCATTGTTATCGCTGCAACAAATAGACCAGAAGCTTTAGATGCAGCTCTATGTCGACCTGGACGGTTCTCCAGGAAAGTACTTGTTGGAGAGCCAGATGAAAATGGAAGGAGAAAGATCTTAGCCGTACATTTGAGAGAAGTACCCCTTGAGGAAGATATGGAACTTATCTGTAGCTTAGTTGCATCTCTTACCCAAGGCTTTGTGGGTGCTGACCTTGCTAATATTGTCAATGAAGCTGCCTTACTTGCTGCTCGAAGAGGTTAGCTTTATACTTCATTCTTTAATGCATGCACCCCTTTGAGTTCTACATTATTCGTGTGCTCTACTTTAACTACATTTTAGTACTAATGTATTAAACATTATGTTATAATTTTTATGATAATCTTCTAATAGTAAAACTCAAAAATATGTTATTTTACTAATAGCCAATTAAATATTTTAAATGTCGAAGTCGTGTGTTGGTAAGCACAAATTTCAAACTATTGCAATTAATCTTTTTATTCTAAGGTTCTTGCAATTAAATATTTCAAGTACGATTTGAGTACAATTTTACACGATTTCAAAGGATTCCAAATTATTATACGATTCAAATTGATTTTACGATCTTAAATCGTAAAATCGCACTCGATTCAAATAACTATTTTTTTAGAGTGATTCAAATAACTATTTTTATAACCTTTACTGTAATACTGTGTCAAGCCTGGACAAATTTAGTTAGTCTGATCATCTTGGGTCTGGTTAGCCCATTTATGACATAAATATGTCCAAGAAAAAATGTCTGTGCAAGGCGAGTATGCCCTTAGAAATGATAGAATTCCTTGTGAAACTCCCTAGATTATTTTTATCTCCCCCATTTTCTGCTATGCATTCAGTGCTCCATGGTTAGGGCAGCCGTTGTAGATGTCTCTTCTCTTCCACTTTCTGAATGCTAGATTTCACGCTGCATTTCAATATTATTATATTCCTTGACATACCATAAATTTGTGAATTCGTTTATGGTCATTGATAAACTGCATGTTGTGCCAATTTATGGCTTACAAATTTATGATGTCAGTTCTTTTTCTTTTATTTTTGCAGGGGCTGAATGTGTCTCGAGAGAAGATATTATGGACGCTATAGAAAGAGAAAAATGTGGGATTGATGACAGGCAATCACGGTCTGTAGGCAAAGAACTAGGGAAATTGTTCCCTTGGGTACCTTCTCTAATGAAGCGGAAAGATGGACTACAAATGCCTTTAGGATACCAGACACTTAGCTGAGCTTTGAGTTTTACGTTCTGGTAGCAGTTATGCGAGTGTGATTAGTAGTCCATAGTATATAATATGCGCATATCAATATTTTCTTTTTGAAGAATTGGACCTTCATCCAGATGTACACAAGGATTTATCAATTACAACACAACTTGGTACATTGCAATCATGCATATTTCTAGTTCACATATTTTCATTTACTAGAGAAGGATTTTTTTGGGATCATGATCTTCACCCCCCCCCCCCCCTGAAGCACATCTTCAAATTTTGTCTTTGGGACTAAAGAATGGTTGAGAGTAGTCTTCTTTTTACCTCATTCCTGAAATCAGAATAGACTGAAATCAGAAATGTAACACAAGTGCAGGAAGATTTTCAAAATAAAGATAATAATAACAATACAAATAATTTAAATAAATAAACAATTGCATTTGCAGTTATGTACCTCATGAGTTGTCTATCAAGGGATGAAGCAGATAATACACCTCTGTTTTCTTCTCCCCTTCTCATAAGATAAGGCATTATTTCATCTACGGGACCGAAAGGCAAGTACTTGCTAACTTGAAAACCTGCATTTCTTAAGCTATATGAAAGAGCATCTGACATTCCATATAGCTGACCAAACTGGACCTTCAAACTGTCCTTTCTCATCCCCAAATCTGTTACCTTGGTTGCAGCCATTTTCCCTGCGAACAAGCATACCAACAATGTATGAATAGATTCACTTGTAAAAACACAGGGTATTCAAGAATTTTAGACTTTTTACCTGATTCAACATTATGAGTTGCCAGAACAACTGCTCCAGAGCCATTCGCTATCTCATCGAGCATGAAAGACATGCAATCGTTAAAGCAGGTGTGAGTTTGGTGAATGGTGTTATGGATTGGAGACTCGACACCTAGAGAAGAAGCTACCTGTCTTTCACTTGACATGTAAGCCCCTCTCACCAGTTTGAACCCCATAGGAATCCCCATTTTGTCTGCAGCCTTCTTTGTTCTCACCAGCCTCTCTTTTGCGTCTTTCAGATAGGCCTGAACTGTTCCGAAAACTAAAGGGTTGTCCTCTCTATGGTATGAAACAGCTGCTGTGTAAGCCATATAATCAATAGCTGGCTGCAACACTGTATCCTCTGCATCAATGAATAACGGAACGTCTACCTCCAAGCACTTCTCACAAATTCTCTGCAGTCTCTGATGGCACAGTTCCAGATCATGCTCTTCCTCCCTGCTTAGAGGCTCTGGTTCCTCTGTTGTGTGATAAAGAGGGCTTGATTCACAGAATATCGGAAGTGTTTTTTGCTTCCATGGGAGATGGAAAGAAGGGTTCTTGAACTCCCACCTTAGCAAATCACTTACCCTTTTAATCAATCTCTTGGGGCAAATTGCAGTTATCTTCACAACAATAAAACTCACCTGTATACATTCAAATCAAATATCTATTAAGACTTGATATTTCGAAAGACCCTTGACATGAGAGGGTCCAAAACCTTAGTTGTGGCCTGTGGGATGTTAAAGCTTGGAAATTGATCTTAATACTTAGCTGGAAGGAGCTGATGAAGGCAGAGTAACTTACAGAAGAAGAAGGGAGTGAGTTGACCGAGTCAGCAGTTTGAAGAATCTCTTTCAAACTGATATCGCAAGAACTGTTATCTGTGGCATGCTCCAACCCATAATCCAACATTGCCTTAAGACCCGACTCGGATAACTTGGAGACAGTCCGACCCACTTCCTGCAGATCTTTACCCCCGCAGAAATGGTCGTAAAACAGGAGTTTGACTATCCCCAGGATGCTCTCCCGTAACAGAGGAACTCCCATGAGTCTGGACTTCATTACCCAGAGGCCCACATCCACCAACGGCTCCACCGCCGTCATGTGGAGCGTAACAGACGATTTCAACAATTTTGTCGTTGAAACAGAGGAGAAAAGCTCCTTCGCGTCATCCAAGTTGAGCAGGGCCTTTCCAGGCGCGGTGGCGGTGGCGGTTTTTGGGTCGGCGATGACGGCGGGGTTTCCGGATGGGGGGACGGCGGCGGCGGCGATGGAGGAAGGTGCTGAGTTGAGGAGGCAGCGGCGGGAGTGACGGGAGAGGTTCTTGAGGAGGAGGGTGGGCTGGCGCGTGGCCATGTCTGAATGTGTGTATCTACGTAAAATGCTCTCTTTTTTTGGAATCGGGAATGAATGTAGAAATTTCTGGTGGTGGGATTCCTCGGGACTCAACAAACTCCACGCATTTTTAACAAACTTATTGGTCTGTTAGATCGTCTTAAATAGAGCATTCAACGCCTACCGTTCGTTCAACTTTGAACCGTTTGATAGGAGTGCTGAGCAAGGTTACAGTCAGCAGCTAGCTGGCCAGCCTAACCTGGGGTGAGGACTTCTGGACTTGCATTCTTTGGGAACAAGAGCAAACCGTACGTTTCGCACCCATTTTGAATTGAAAAGAACTGCTACATTCATATATTATTATATTCTCACTTTCCCTTTTTGGTCGTAACAATCTATCATTTCTAAATCCCTTATCATATTCTCAATCACTTTTAAAATAATATTCCATCTGTCTCGATAAGATTGTCTCATTTTACTTTTTCGGTCTGTCCCACTAAAATTGTCTCATACCAAATTTGGTAATTGTGTGACTCTAAATCATTCTTACTTTATTCTTACTTTATCAATCCAATATCAACCACATAAGCCACTTTTTATTAGTTTGTGTGTCACTCCCTCTTGTCCCATTGTTAGTGGGACGGAGGGAGTACACTATTACAATCACTTTTTAGATACAACCATTATTTCATTATCTTCCTATCATACCCTCAATAATTTATATCTCATTTCACTATTTTTTAATTCCACCTACTTTTAAACGGGAAGATATATCTGTTATGGAGGTAGTATTTCTATACATTTTTTATATAAATCAGGACACATGTCAGCGGAGAGATTTTTTTATCGGTGAATAGTCCGTTCACAGACAAAATAAATTAATCGATGATGTTGCTTATTTGTCTGTGAAGAGGCTATTTGCTGACAAAAAATTGTTCCCAATATATGTACCGGTGTATAAAAGAGCGTGTACAAAAATAATGATTGATTTGAATTTGGGATGAACATATCTGCACGGATAGCTCAACGGTGGCCGGCCGAGTAAGGTTGTTGGATTGATGCCTTAGGTTCAATTTCCGGCAGCGGCCGTGTGAGAGTTTCATTCTATGTGATGACTCCTTGTGCACACTGTTGAAAAAATGTGTTGAAATTGCATTAAATGGTAATTTTGGGGCAATTTTTTGAGTGTGGTCCACTTCCGATTTGGGTGGGGTCAAAGTGGTTTCGGATTGTCCTTGTTAAGGGCTACAATTCGATATGTGGTATGCTCAAAACGGATAACGGGTGAATGAGAAAATGATTCTCGAAGTTTACCCGTTAGAATGGGAAAACTGGAAAAAAGGATGAGTTTCTAGTGTGTTATTTCCCACACCGGAAAACCCAAGGGATTTGCAAAACTTTATAAAGGGAAAACCCCCTTAAGAAGTTAAGATTACTTAGGGTAAAGGCTCTCTCCACGCGCGCGGGGGTGGGGGGTGCAAATCAAATCCCGAAATCGGAGAAGAAAAACCGCGACTTGCGAGCGACCTGCGGACACGAATGTCGTCCAAAAATCTATCTGTCAAGAGATACGGTTAATTTTTGTTTTCTTCCCGAAACGTTTATTTTTTCCCAGTGACAGAAGTCTTCCGCACAACAGAACTGCTCGACACGGACAAAAGGCCTGGGGTCTTCTTCTACGAGGCTCAGACAGAAGGCCTTGGGGTTCTCTGTTGCGGAGCTCGGGCAGAACACCTTGGGGTGTTCTGTTCTGGTCCGTTACAGCAGTTAATGCCCAACGTTCTTATCTTTTAATGCAGCGTTAAATGGACAGTTCATGGACGATTCAATGCCCAACTGGCTGGTCATTAATATCCAACGTGCAGGTCCATTAATTCAACAGTTACACACAATAAATTCTCCTATATAAAGGCTGGCAGGTGGTTTGCAACAACACACATTCTTACATACATGAGCTCACGTATTTCTTCAGCTAAAAACACCTCCAATCCTCTGAAAAATTTCTTCTGTGTTCATACTTTGTTCTCGTTCGCTGAAACTCTTGTTTGTGTGCTCAAACATTAGTTCGTAGTTATCGTATCCTGGGAAATGATTGTTGCAACACTCCTAGCACCGTGGGAGGCAACAAATACGTTTTAAGGACATCGTGCGTAGCACGAGCTTTGGCTAAATTCTGCTCCATCTCATTTCTTGTTTTTCTTTAGTCATTTTAATTAATTTATTTTAATTAATTTTGCTTTATTTTCCGAAACACATCCAACACACACTAAATTCCGAATCAATTTACTTAGAAACTGTTTGAGATCATACCGTGATTTACTTCACTTTCGATGAAGATAGACTTCTAGATAGGGTTGTAAACGAATCAAATAATTTGTGCTCGATTCGCGATTCGAATTCGTATAAGACGATTCGAATTCGGAAAATTCAAATACAAATACAAATATGAATATTAAATTTGATTCGATTTGTTATCAAATAAAAATAAGAATATCAGTGTATTCGATTCAAATATTAATCAAATATATTCGATTAATAATAGTGATAATATTATTATTATTAATAATAATAATAATAATAATAATAATAATAATAATAATAATAATAATAATAATAATAATAATAATAATAATAATAATAATAATAATAATAATAATAATAATAATAATAATAATACTAATAATAATAATAATAATAATAATAATAATAATAATAATAATAATAATAATAATAATAATAATAATAATAATAATAATAATAATAATAATAATAATAATAATAATAATAATAATAATAATAATAATAATAATAATAATAATAATAATAATAATAATAATAATAATAATAATAATAATAATAATAATAATAATAATAATAATAATAATAATAATAATAATAATAATAATAATAATAATAATAATAATAATAATAATAATAATAATAATAATAATAATAATAATAATAATAATAATAATAATAATAATAATAATAATAATAATAATAATAATAATAATAATAATAATAATAATAATAATAATAATAATAATAATAATAATAATAATAATAATAATAATAATAATAATAATAATAATAATAATAATAATAATAATAATAATAATAATAATAATAATAATAATAATAATAATAATAATAATAATAATAATAATAATAATAATAATAATAATAATAATAATAATAATAATAATAATAATAATAATAATAGTAATAACACTATAATAACTTTTAAAAGATAGTAATACCCTAAAGTGTAGTTCATATATACATTTACGCATACAAATTCTAAGTCCATTTGTAATAAATCAGAGTATAAATACAATACAAATCGGAGTTTTGGTTCAAAAGTGTATTGATTCACAGAATAAAATTAGAGTCGTCTGACTTTGATATACGTAGTATACAATTATCAACTTATTTCACACATTATAAGTGTAATTTCTAATATGTATATGTTAGTGTTTATTTCAAAAAGTTTGAAATAGATTTATATTTATTAATCGTAAAATTGATTCACTTTAGTATATCGTGCACAATCTAAAAATGCATTGATCCATTGAATTTAAATTCTGAAACACATATCAAATCATAGCGTACATTTACAACATAAAAAAATATAAGGAAACTTAATTTTAAGTGATATTTGACTAATATTTAACCTATGCTCAAATCTATTCGATATTCGTATAAGATTCGTTAACTATTCGTATTGTTAAACAAATACAAATACAAATCGAAATTAATATTCGTTTCATATTTGAATTCGAATTCGTATTCGAAAAAATTAAACAAATACAAATACAAAATCCTACTATTCGACTCGATTCGGTTCGTATACAACCCTACTTCTAGATGTGCATGCTTTCGGAATTCGGACCAAAGTGGGTCCCTACGAACTACGAAATGTCAAGACTCAAGAGAAGGGTCCCGCATTAAGGAGACAATGAGACATCTATTTTATTGTCATTTAAATGCACTGTCCTCCCAAAATTTTGACGCGTAACTTGTTCGCTTTTTGTATTGAGAGTATTAAAGAAAACAAGTCTTTAGTAATCCCAATTTTCGTTTATCAATTTTATTGGTTAAGTTTTTATTAAATACTTTGATATTTTGATAACAGGATTTGATGAAAATTTGGGTAGGTAGAATCTTTTACCCTGTACATTTTTTTTTACTCTTTTACATTTTAAAAATCCCAAAATATTTTTTAAAAGGTTATTAACATATTTCTATACTATCGTATTAATTTTTTTTTTAAAAATTTGTATACTATCTTGCCACATCTTATGTCATCCCACAACATTGTAGCATCATCGCCATGGTCACATTAATGCGACATCATTTGTCATTTTTTTGAGAGCAATTTTATTCATCCCTAATGCGACATCATTTGTCATTTAGCTCAATTATTTAGCTCAATTGTTGCCATTTGGCATTTCATTTCCTTTTTTTGTTTAAATTACAATAACTTTTTTAATTATAGTCCAACTTTTATAAAAAGAGTCCTTTGGTAATCCAAATTTCAGTTTATCAATTTTATCGTTTAATTGAAAATTTAGTTAAGTAGACTTTTATATAAATTTTTTTCCTTTTTACATTTTAAACAGCCCAAATAATTTTTGTTAAAGGTTATTAACATATTTCTAGATTATCTTGCCACATCATATTACTTCACTCGCATGTCAATATGTCATCCCCAACATTGTTGCATCATTGCCAATTTTTCTACTTGTTTTATTTTATTTCTTTTATCTGTTACTCCGTACTTTTTCTCAACTTTCATCCGTCCCCACAAAAGCAAACACCACATTCCACAAAACCAACTTTTCCTGGGATAATATTATTTTAAAGTTGATTTTCAAAGCAGAACCACTTTTATACTTCGTATATGAATACAAATGTGATTATTAAACAAGAGTACCCCAAAGTGTAATGAAAACGAGGGCAAACCCCAAAATTTATCAAAACATTTAGGGAAGCAGAGATACGTAGATCGTCAATAGGCAATCATAGATTCATAGCGTTCACGAATAATATTTGATCAATCATGCTGCCTTGGTTCAATAAAACTTGGTCAAGTTTAAACTCCTTGGTCAATAAATAAGTTTTT